TTGATGTTTCTTCCTCCAGTTTTAAAATCACACTCATCTCCTTCCAATCCAGCTTCCCTTAATATATATGCAACATATAGATTGAATAAATACGGGGAGAATATATAGCCTTGTTTCACTCCTTTGCCAAACTGGAGCCAGTCTGTTACGCCATGTTCTGTCCATACTGTGGCTTCCTGACCTGTATATAGGTTTCACGTGAAGACAATGAGATGTTCTGGGATTCCCATTTTTGTACAGTACTAATCACATTCCACAGCTTGATGTGATCAACATAATCAAAGGCCTTTCTATAATCAGTGAAACACATACTTATTTGTTTTTGGTATTCTTTGGTGCCTTTCATTCAGTCCACAAACTCCAAAATCTGATTTTGAACTCCACGCATCATAACTTAACCCATCTAGCCTAATTCATCCAGCAGGATTATATCACTCTCTGACCCACTGTCTGAGAAACAGGAAACATTGCAAAAGAGCATCTTTTACATTTGTCACAATCTCCAAATTAACTGCTGTTTTAAAAGCAGCATCAGCAAAGATAAAATGCTCCAAAGGGACAATATTATTAGAGGCCAATTTAGTTCCCCTTCTGGGAGAGGGAAACAAGGAGATGAAACCACTATTTAAATTGGGATAATGTAAGCTTTTGATTAGGAAAAAATGCAATGATATTTAATGTGTGTATATGCATGTAGGTAGGGTGAATTTCTAGGAGTGTAGAAGCAGTGTTTTTCTCATTTCTTTTTGATGAAATATAGGACTGCTCTACCCAGTTTCCTCTCTACTGCAACTCAGACATAGATATCTGTCTAACACAACTGTGAGTGCCAACGTAAATACTATTGTTAGCTTAAAAAAACAGTCAATCCTTCTTTAGTAATATTTTCATTTCTGTGTTGTCTAGCAATCCAACCATTTCTCTGGCTGTTTTTCTATTTCTGTTAATCTCATAATTTTTTAAAATAAAAATGTGTAAAGTTTTAGCAATATAGTCTTTAACTCAAAATATTTGCTTCATTGACAATTTACACTTGTTTGCTAGTGTTTCTGCTACTTGTTGTTCTTCTTGCTTGGGTAAGTCTTCTACATGTTAAAATCACTTTTTTTAATCTTTTACAGTTTTTCTTGGCTAACCATGTAAATATCTCATTAGACTAGCTAATACTATTCTTAATCTGTGGTACATGCTCTAGCCAAGCCTTTATTCTTATGGTTTTAAATAACCCCCAAGCATTTTACAGTGATTTAAACCCTGGTTTAAGTGATTTATTTATTTCTTTCTTTCTTTCTTTCTTTCTTTCTTTCTTTCTTTCTTTCTTTC